TAAAAACACTTAAAGTATTTCAGTTCAGTAATACGTTTCGGAGGAAGTGTTATGGTCATGATTATATAAACTACAAAATGCAACACTATTAATACATAAAATACTCAGTTTATTGTGAACGTTTTAAAATATCTTATTATTCCTTACAAGTACTGAAATTAAGATTACAAACCTGAATAATTCAGTCGCTTACTTTGAAAGCTGAAACTGGTATAATCACAAATAGGCTTTTAATAGATCTAATTAAAAGAAAAATATTGTTCAAACACGAATATTGAAATAATACTTAACATTTTTTTACCATGCACCTTTTCGTACTTAATAAATTTACTATAGTCCAAATTACGTAACACGTTTTCTATGTTTTATCTATTCATTTATTTAATATTTCCAGAGGAAAGTAACGACTAGCAAACAAAGTTGAAAAGTATTTAATCATTATTTTCTGTTTACCATACCAGACATTTGGTCCAGAAAACTCTTTTCATACGAACGAGTTTTGTGATTCCCAGTTAGAAGTCATTTACCAAAATGTGAAATTTAAGAACACAGGTAGATCTGTTTAAAATGTAACGAGCAATCCAAATTATCGTTAGTAATTTCTTTATTTACTTTGGATACTTCCATAATCGTGTTTGAAGAGGAAAAGTAACGAAAAATCAGAGAAAATATAAATCAACTAACTCTAGTGTGTAGCGGTAAGTATGATGCAAAGTAAATCAATGATATAGCATGAAATTTCCCGATCATTTCTTCATGTTAAATGGGAATGATAGAAAGATCATGCTATTCGAGTTTGTGACATAATACATTCATCAGTTTTCAAGATTCTATCAAAATATAGTGATGAGATAAGTCTACGTATGGAGAAGGTGCTGATAATTCGTAGACTAAGGTCTCAACTGAATGATACTATCTGGTTCGGCAGTTATTGTGTTGAATATTTAATACAAGTTAAATTGTAATATTAGCATACCCCATTATTAGCAGAAAGAGCAAGATAAAATTAATTAGTACTTATCGACTATCATTCAATGATGTGTTGAATTGATGTGAATTCCAGTATATAATATTGGTAATTATCCCTTATAAGAGTGATTTAAAGATCATCAGCATGACAAGCAAAATTTTGTATGAAAAGTTTTTTCATGTAATTTTACTTTCATTAAAAATTCCAACAGTATATAATATAAATAAATGCATATTTGTATTAATGTTTGTATAATGTAAATTTGATTTTACTTGTATATAAATATATTTATTTGAAAATGAATACCTCCGCTGAACAACGACATTTTGTACAATGATAAGATCATTCATAGTGTTGAGTATTTACATATGCAATAATTTTAATTTGTAATCCATAGAGTTGCTTATTTTTTCCATGTGTTTTATGGAAATTACTTTTATATTATGAATACACCAGAATGTCAGAGTTGTAGCATGTGAATAAATAAATTTGGAGAAGTAGATTTATTTAATATTTATGGCAAGAAATGTCAAAGTAATAGGAAATCTTTATCATAATTTCAATCAATATTTCAGTGTCTTGTAATATGACTTTAAAATGAGGTGTCATTGCTATATTAATTCATTTTCTCATTAAGTAAATTATTAAAGAACTGATAATTAGCATGGTGCTGATATCTTCCTGTTAGTAACATTGTATCGTTGCTGGCTGATTTGCTTATTAGGCTTATTAAAATTTCAAGGTATAAATATGTGTGTAGAAATGAGTAGGATATTGTCCACAATTATAAATAGATTTTTTAAATATGTTTGTTTCATGTATCTCAAAGGATGCTGAGGAAGATGTCAGGAGTGGGGTTTTAAAAATCCATGTTTCAGAATGTCTGATTTACAAAACATAAATTGGATATTCTAAAAATATCAAGAACAATTTGGAAATAAACATTTGAATGTTTCAGAAAGACTGAGAAAATAGTGGATTACAATTTCAGGCTTCCACTCGGTCAAAAAGGAAAATGTATTATTAGTTAAAAGTTTTAATATTCATAAATATATATTGAAAAATAAATGTTTGAAGTGTTTTTCTTAAAATAAACTAGGAATAATATTTAAGTCATTTATCAAAAAGTAAACTTGAAAAAAGTATATTTTACTATTTTGAAAGTCTGAAAAATAATGGTTGAATGTCATAAAATGTAAAAAAGTTCTTAAAATATTGTTATAAAGTATCAGAGAAAAATAATGGGCTAAAGCTTGAACATATTAAAATGTTCAAGAAGTATCTCGAAATAAAAATATTCACAATATAAAAATGGATAAGGTTCTAGAATAAAATGAATATTTTTGGATTATGAAATAAAAATTGAACATATTAGAAAGTTTAAAGAAAAAAAAGATCTTTAAATAAACATTGAAGATGTATGGATCTCAGACAAAGATCTAGAAATAATTGTTTAAAACATATAGATGTTAAGGAAAAATCAGAGACAAAATATTTAAGTTTTACGGCATACATCACCAAAGCTGATGATGCACGATTCTTTTTAACATAAAAAAAAAGTACAGTATAAAATTACAAAAAAGGTTGATAATATTGAATGGATTAAAAGTATAGTTAGTTATGTTGTAATCACACATGCTGTGTCAAAACAGTAAAAAACAGATAAAAGTAGAATGTAACTTTGATAGAAATTTAAACAGCACAGATCGGTAAAGATCAAAATATAGATATTAAGGGTTTTGAATGTGTAAGAGATTTATTTTAATACCTAAGAAAGATATGAATGGAAAAGCATTGTGTAGCTTACTTTAATAGTAGTTTTGCTTCTTAGATTGCACATTGTGTTAGTGTTCCGTTACCATACACCCGTTTGTAATAGTCTAAATATATAACAATACTTGTGGAATTATTATCTTTCATTATTTGTCATATTCAATTTTTGTCATTATACAGCAATATTATTATGTAATCAAGTGTGAATATTTCTACTCAGTTTCATGTATGCAGTAGATTCTGCTGCCATAGCATAAGTTTTCTTCTTGTAGAAAAAATAAACGTCGTTAATTAACTATATGGTATTTCATGCTTTACTAAATAATTAAATTAATTCAACATTCGTTTTTTTTTTACTGAACACTTAAAGTGTGAACATGATTTATTTGACATAATTTTTTCAGTACCAGGTTTTTTTTACCAACCAAGCATAAAAACAATTTCCTCAAAATATTTTAATTTATAATCTTTTCACTACATTAATTTTTAAAGTTCTTATAGATTTGTTCATTTGGTGGTGTAAATGTGAAGATTTCCATAAGTCCCTAATCTCTTCATCATAATATACTTGTTACATTTAAAGTTTATCGATATTCTAAGATTATGTAAACTGAGCCATATTTTGAAATTGATCAAAAACATTTCACATATTATTGGAAAGAAAAAACTGATAAATAAAATTCACTTAATTTGTAGTCAACAAATTCTTGGTCTAATCAGTGACATTAAAAAGGGTTAAGTCAGTCAAAATCGTAAGCAAAACTAAATCCTCTAAATTTTCCATCTTCTTAAGACAGTTGTAAACCATCCTACAGGAAAATGAGTTAACAAACCACCCTATATATTTCCAATTTTTTAACTTAACTTAAATCACCACAACAAATTTGTTCATTTATAAACGAGTTGAAAATCAACCTAAATTCACTCTTTGAAATTCAAAGTTACAAAGTTGTAGACCATCACGTATATATAATTCATATGAATTAAAAATCTTTGTATGTTAAAGCAAAAATGTATTATTTTAAAGTAAATTAAACTGGTCTATAAAGAAATCCAACACTACAGTGTATTTGCAAATAGGACTAAATAGCATGTAACAATTTATAATTTCCTAATTATAAATTAGTTGATATCATCCCTTACATTTTCTTTTATCCTTACTACAATATAAATGAAAGAAAATAACCCTGTAAAATTAATAACTGGCTAAAAAGCATAGTGTAAATTTGCCTACATCATCCATATAAATTTGATTTTTTAAATATAACAAAATCTGGCTCAAATCACCCCAAGAAGTTTCCTATCTCTGAAGTTGACAACTGGACAAACATAAAATCCTACAAGTTCCCCAATCTTCTAAATCATCCTGATAATTCCCAATCTTCCAAGTAATACTAATATATTTTAAAGCATTGTGAAAAATTCCTAATCTTCTAAATAAATTTTAAACTGATGATTTCCTAAACTCCTCATTATGTTGAAAAGTGGCCAAAAATTGTTCTGTTTTTAAAAATAAGTTGGAAATTGGTCTGAACTACTCTCCGAGTTCACAGTCTTCTAAATATGATGTTGATCTGCCCCAATGATTACTGAAAATTCTTCTTTTACGTATTTTGTAAAGTACGTTAAATCATTGAAGCTCTAGTGTATTTTGTTAATAGTCTAACTCATCCTTGCAAATTTCTAATGTATGAAATGAAATCTGGTCTAGATCACTCAAACGATTCACTTCTGTGAATTTCAATGTTTTAATTTTAACCTAAACTCAAAAATTCCAAAACTATCATTTTAAACTATACATAGGAATTCTCAGTCATCTCAACATGGTGAGCATTTACCAAGATTCTGTTCTTTTAAACTTAATTCATTCTTGAGATGAGCAAAATTCCAAAGAATATTGCAAATGGAACTGAAACACATTAGAGTCAAATTTTCCAAGTGAAAAACAGAATAAATCAACCCACATAAATCTATGCTGTAAACTGGACTAAATAATTCTCTTGGTTTTTTCACTCTCCTTAATTGTTGTTAACCAATTTAAAACATAAACATAAGAAAGGTTTTATCAAAGTTATGTAACTTTGAATCACTCAACACTGAGCTGTAAAGTGGCCTAACTGGATCACTAGAAGGATTTTGTCTTCTTCTTTTCTGGGTCCTTCCTATTAATTCTCTTGCTTGGCCCTCAAGTGACAGTTGTAAACAACCCTAAATCCTTCCTATTAGTTCCCTTGCTTGGCTTTCCTGTGACATTTGCAAACTTCCCTAAATCTTTCTTATTAGTTCCTTCTCTTGACCCTCTTATAACAGTTGTAAACTGCCCAAAATCTTTCATATCAGTTTCCTCATTTGGCTCTCCTGTAACAGTTGCAAACTGTCATAAATCACCCCAATCTGTACACCTAAGAGACATTTAAACTGGGCTCTGTTCCTAAGTAAACTGTACATATTACTCACATCAGTTTCCAGACTAAGTAGTTGATTAATTTGCGTGAATTAACTACTACGACTTGTAGTTACTTTACCAGTCCTGATGTAGTATGACTGCTTTGATCACTTTAACTTAAAAAGCTTTTGAAAACACATTGGTGAACAGAAGGATCAAACAAACCTGTTGTTTTGTAACTATATATATAGAGTGTTAACTCTTGTGGAAAATATGCATGAATAAACATAGCAAGTTACAGAAAAGTGTTAGCAAAAGAGTGATGTTTGACAATGTACCTTAACAGAGTGTGAAGAGTTAATTTCCAGACAGTACATAATACTCTCAATAGGAATTTATTAATTTTTGTTAATATATATATATATAATCATAATAATTTCTACATACATTTGTAAGCTGTTAATTCATGTGGTAAAATATTTTAATATGTATTGTTCTGGAAGAAATTACAAAATATGGCAAAACAAAAATTACAGAATCCTTTTAAATACTGATGTAGCAGATAAAAAGGAAATATTTTGTAAGGTGTTTAATGTCTAAACTGGCAAAGCAAAATAGCTGCAATAAAACATCAAAACTGATTACACTCACTTTTAGTTAGTCTAATATCAACCTCAAACAAGACAAACACGCAACATTTCAGATTAACCTTTTGTCTACAATACACAATCAGTCAATGAGACCTTTTGTTCAATTTTAGAACTCAAAAACCAAAAGTTTTAAAACATTTTATGCTATTTGTAAGTCATGCCTAACTGTAAAGTTTTGGTATTGATTAAAAGGCTCTCTAAAGGCCATATGTGGCAGATATATGTAAACAGATACAACATACTGTTTTCAGTACCTCTTATTTGAAATTCACAATGGACTAACACCTAAGAAATTACACACACACACACACACATATATATATATATTTGTTGTGTGTGTGTGTGTGTGTGTGTGTGTGTGTGTGTATAAAGGCAAATTAATGGGATATCATTCTTCAAATTAATTAGGCCTAAAATATCTTGTTCTTTGCAGTTAGATTTATCAGTTAGTTAGATCTTTTTATAAAGTTACTTCTGAAAACTCTCATATTTTGTTTTTCTTCAAAAATAGATTTAAGTAAGTCTAGTTTTTTACTTCTTTATGGTGGAAACTTGCTATACTCTAAAGGCTCTATTTGGTTGTTCAATCTGTTACAGCTTGAGTCCAAATCGAAGTCTTGGAAAATTCATGACACTCTCGCAAAGAGCACAGACAAGCCTTAACACAGCTCCGTAAATGTCGTGGTGTGTTTGAATTTTGTTTCAGAAACAGCAGTTGGTCTAACACCTGTGAGAAAATATTTTACTGAGAGTTGTATGGCAAATTAAACCTATTATCTCATAACATGTCATCTACAACTGAAGCACGAATCATAAATTAGTTCAAAAGTTAGCTTAATCTCAACTGTGTTACAACATATGTAATGGTGCTTATTGATATTTAACAGTTTACTCACATTGCAATAAACTAGAAGTCATCAGCACAAGTTCTTATATAAGCTTTTAACAAAACAATACAACTGAATGAACAATAGAATGGTTTATAACAACACAACTTGATGATTAGCAGGAACAGAAGGAAACCTAGTAACACATGGTATGAAACTTAGAATGACAAAAAAAAATGAATGCTATGATATACGAGGCACGTGATGGGCTAAATGAAATAAAACTACTACAAGATAAGGACTACAAAGAATAACAGAAAAGTTAATAACATTATGATATGATGCACAGAATTATCTAAATGAAAATTAATAACATTAAGGTATTAAAAGAATATAATAAAACAAAATAAAATTAAGTGTATTAAGAACAAAGAATGAAGAACAGAAGTGGCTTATAAGGTAAGACACTTCCTCACATAGATCTTCCATTGCCTTCCTCTAAACATTTACACCAAACATGTCTTTTTCATTATTTATATTTCAGATATAATAAAATATTCATTAATTGGAATCAAAATCAGTAGTGTTGTAAAAATAACATAACAATGTAATGTTTTGTATTCCACAATCCACTGCTGAAGAAACCCTTTGTTTAATACCACTTTCAACACTTAAACCAATAACTTTTATTAATTAATTGCTACTAAAACTTCAAACATGAATTAATACCTCTACATAAGGAAAGAGTAAGTGCTTTCAAACAAACAAAAAAAAAGAAAACCACTGAGCCAAAGCAGCATTGCTAGCCAACAGGAGAGCTTGATTAGGAACACTATAGTGAAAGTAAAAAACAAGCTTTGCAGAGACAAGGTGGTTTCAGTTGGTTGAAAATGTATCGTATGTATACATATTGTACTTCTCATTCAAAAAAGTCCTCAGTTGCCACTGTTAATAACATCAGAAAGGTTAGTAACACTATGGCCTAGTTTTAGAACAAACAACAGGTGGGTAATGTTACTATAATAAATGACAAACGAGTTAAAAACATACTTATATAAGACCCAGGAGTTAAAAACATACTTATATAAGACCCAGGAGTTAAAAACATACTTATATAAGACCCAGGAGTTAAAAACATACTTATATGGTTTTTAACTCCTGGGTCTTATATAAGTATGTTTTTAACTCCTGGGTCTTGTACTTATATAAGACCCAGGAGTTAAAAACATACTTAAATAAGACCCAGAAAAGATGGCATGTAGACTAATAATTTTACGATGTGAGAAGACACATAAGAGGAGTTAACATTGTGGTATGAAGTTGAATCAAAGGCATACATAACATTAACCAATTTAAAAAAAAACTTCTTCACTTATTATAAATCAATAAATACTTCACAGGTCTACATTCTGTAAAACTGAGATTGTGCATAACACCAAACACTTGTACAAAATATAAAGTTGGAATATTTTAAAATAACTTGTTATTGGTTTTTTCTTTTTTACATGAAAACAGAAGTTCAGAGAACAGGTAAATCTAAAAGATCTCGATTTTTAAAACAATTACATGAAGCTAATAAATTAAAATAAATGTAAAAGATTGGTGGAAAAATTTGAAATGGAAGGTCAAAAAAAAAGAATGAGAGGATTAATGAAAGTAACAAAAATTGTAAACATTTGATTAATCTTAAATTTCTCTTCTTTACCTTTCACATGAAAAATTTTTAATAATCTGTCAAGTTTGTCTTAATCTATTTCCTCTGCGCGATACTTCTGTACATCAAGATCTCACAGACTTACTTGTGTTTGTTCTCTGACTTTTTCCTCACTTCAAAAAGAAACCTTGTAAAAAAAATTTTCTTTACTTTTCAGTTTTTCTTGGGTATTAATTTAATTTCATAATCTGTGGAAGGAGATTTTCCAAACCTAATATGAAACAATTTGACACTGAGTGAGTCTCGTATAGAGCTCTACTTGTAGATATTATAAGCAAAGAAACAATCACATTTTTTGAAAATAAAGTTGCAAATAAAAAATGAACATAGTTTATTTATGTGCCACCAAATGTTAGAATCATTACAACTGCAGGGTTTCAATACACTCAGGACCTAAAAGTTGTATTTGCATGTATTATTACACACTTTATTTAAAGAAGCTCTATAAAACACACATAGTTAACCCTGCGTGATTGGTTGGGGGTTAATGTGCAAGCCACAAATTTTTTACAGAGTGCAACATCAACATGCTATTATGTACTTGATGTCAGAGTTATCAGCTATTCACTCTACCCTATATTGCTGAATTACTGACAGTTCATGGTAGAGTAAATATACAGGGATACTGAAAAGAAAAAAACTGCATTTTGAAGGTTCTAAAAATTATGAAAATGTGATATTCAAACTGTATGATAGACAAAAGTATTTTTATTCTTCACATGAACATCACTTTTCACTCTGACTTGTAATAGCTAAAACTCATAATTAGTGCTTTTCATATGGCTCAGTACTTTTGTCATGACAAATAAATTGATTCTGACATTACTAATACCAAATAACTCTTAGTAGCAATACTTTTGTCATGACAAATAAATTGATTCTGGCATTACTAATACCAAATAACAGAATCAATTTATTTGTCATGACAAAAGTATTGCTACTAAGAGTTATTTGGTATTAGTAATGCAGAATCAATTTATTTGTCATGACAAAAGTATTGCTACTAAGAGACGTTACTAATACCAAATAACTCTTAGTAGCAATACTTTTGTCATGACAAATAAATTGATTCTGATGTTACTAATACCAAATAAGTCTTAGTAGCAATTAACCTTTTACAGCAACATCTCACCTTTTCTGTCACTTGTGACCAGGGCTCTTCAGCCATCAACAAGGAGAGAGCAGTTGGAAGTGCTGTAAAAATTAAGGAGTTACTCATATTTCCTTCTGGCCACATGGTAACACTAACATCTGGTCTCGCCCATCCTATTGCTGCTGCTGCAAACAACTGGAATCTGAAGTCAATTATCTGTTGTTTTACAAAAAAAGATAGAAGAATGTTAAAAATTTCATTTAAAGATGTAAGTTTAATGTAACTATGTATAATCTTTCTCTACTTTAAAATATTTTACCATGTCGCATCTGTAATCAACCTTATTTAGATAACATTACCTCATGTACATAATGTCAAATAAATATTAAAACTTTCAAAAATCTCAATAAGTTTCACAAGTTACATTATCAAATTAGTAAAAATACTGACTTTTGAGTGTTTTTTTTAATGAGAAAATACTAAATTCTTCAACTAGCAAAGTAAAGGAAAGCTTTAGGTAATTAAAATATTTGTATACACTATTTTCATAAAAGGTATTACTTTAGTTCTAAATGGAAGAGAGAACAAAATTAGTTTTAACCTTCTAAAATTTATTGTTACTCATAAGAAGTTTGTATATCTTTCTCAAAAAATTTTAATTTTTGTTTCAACTGGGAAACCATACTGATCTATTTTATTGGCTCGAATATTACAGTAATGTTTTTTATCGTGTACATAAATTATATGACATGATCCACTCACTAGACAAGGAAACTAAGTGAGCATAAATACCAACAGACAAGTTGATAAGTGGTGTTTAAGCATGCACAAGATAAAATGTTTTCAATTTAAGGAGTTGGACATTATAGGCTACTAGATGTGTGAGAAATTGAAAATCAACAAGTGTTGACAAAGTATGAAAAGTGTTCATTTGTTAGAACTGTGAAAAAGGGCCAGAAATAATCTTTATAGCAAGTTCACAGCATCTATACTCATTGTACCCAATATGGCCACATATGTATGAACACAATCTGATTAGGGATACTGTAGAAGAGATGCAATGTGCAAATCATATATCACTTTAAAGAATGCTCAGTACCATTTTGCTTCTAAAACTAATCAGCACTGAACTGATGATAACTGTTTCTATCTTCTAAAGTGATGAGAGCCAAATCACACAGTTTTCAAGAGATGGATGAATATCAGATTATTGTGTTGTGCTAACTGTAAAAGATTGCAAAGTGAATTTCATAGTGTGAGCTTCATTGTGCACAGAGATCAAAAGATCTTGAACTAAAACATTCCAGGGGTTGTGGGTTTTCTTGGTTAGCAGGCCAGTGCATTGTTCCACAAGAATATCATTCCGTGCTACAAAGAACATATGATCCATGTCTACTTTCAAAAAGTTCTGGAATGGCCTGCAGAGGGTCTATATTTCAGTACTAAAAATATTTTTATGAACCACTTGAATGGGTGTGTTCTGAAAGTTACTCCATAATTTTTCCACCATAATCATATGACTGAAGTTTTAAAACAACAATTCAGGGAAAAATGTGCATTTGTGAGTAAAAAGATGGGAGCAAACTTTGCCAAAAGTATTTGTTTTATTGATTAAAATTATCAGTTTTCTGAAAATTACTGCCACTTATACATCTTTGAATAGTTAGAAGTTCTAAAACACAGATTTTTAAAATTGTAAATTCTAAAATAGAATTAATTAACAACTTTTTGTTTCCTCCTCTCTTCAATATTTAACCATTATAAAAAGCAAGAATTTGTCTAAAAAATCAATAATATTACAATGGTAGCATATTAAAAATAAATCTAATACTCTTTACAAACACTTATATAACATTATAATTCTAGAATTATCACAATAAAATGGCCAAATAACCTCGTAACCATTTTGTGCTTGTTATAGTTTCATGCTATAACTTTTAAATTAGTAAGCGAATGTTAACAAAATTTGGCAGATTATCATCAAATATTTCAATGCTTTCATACACAAAATATAAAAATGTTTTAAGGTTTATAAAGCAATGTTTTTCTCATGCCTTTTTTTCGTTTCACATGTTGCCTATCTAACATGCAAAGTAATTTTCATTTTAAGATTAAAAATATTTTTATGCATCAGAAAATTTTCAAATTTCACATGCAAAATTTTTATAATGTCCAGATAGTTATAAAATGTTTCAGTAATGAATTTCTGTATGGGTTTGGTAGATTTCACCATCTCATAACTACTATAAAAAATTAGGAAATAAATATAAATTATACCTCTTTCATTCTAGAATGAACACAAATTATAACACGAAAACATATGTTTAGACTAAATACCTTAAATCTCATAACATTATACATTTATATATATTTATTATTTTTATCATACTGACCTTTTAGCCATGCCTGGCTAAAAAATACAGAAGTTTCAATGACATGGCACATGTGCACTCATGTTACCATATCCAATAACATAAAACTGACATTTGGTCTGTACAAAGTAACTTGTCTTGACTGTGTTTTAGTAGACTAGTATTTTGTAAAATACAATCACATTTCAATTATTATACATTATATATGTATATAAATTATTGCTATTTTGAAATAAATTCATAAACTTATTTTTCTTAAAACATAGAACAGTAACTAAAGAAGTAAATCAAACAATTATCTCTTCTAGTTATGACCTTCGTACTCGGTTGCTGCTTCATGTAGGTTGCTAAGCCTTTAAAAATTTTGCACATGGAGGATATGAAACAAAATATTTTTTTTAGGTTTTATATATACATTTGAATAACTAAAAAATCATAAATTACTATGTCAAAACCATAGAATTCCACTGTAATTTATCAGGCATATTAACTAAAATGTATTTAGTCTAAAAAATATGAAATTTCAAGCAGACTAAAGACACACCCTACCTTGTTGCAATATTGGTTCAAAAAAAGAAATGGCATCCAAGCTCATTAAAATGGTTGAGAAAGCCACTAGGGAGACATTCTGAGCTTCTGACTGGTTATTCATGTCATATACAAAAGTAAGTATATATAAGGGAGCATTTCCAAAAATGGAAAGAGGTAGGTGGAGTGCCATTGTGTTGGATTTATTACACAAGCAAAATTTGATATTCTAGCTTGTCAATATCAGTAATCTGAGTTTCTAATCTGTATGAAACTATAGACTTAGTATTTTGACTTCACAAACATCTAATTTGAACCAGTGCTGCATTCAACATTCCATGTGACATACAAGAATTGATGGTTATCCATGTTTTTTAATATTTACTTCTAAATTAAGAAATTGAGTAATGTATAGTACTAAAACTTAAATTATAATCTACACTTTGATACCAAAGTTATTGACATAAATTCATGAAATAGTAGTTCAATAAAATTTTGAATGCGAGTCAACAAGCGAGATGACATGGCCTTTCACCCATGACCCGTCTCGAAAAGGGTTAAACATCTTCATGTACCATGAAAAAGATTATGAGATGTGACAAGAACTTTGTGACACTATACCTCTGACACAGGTACCAAGCAACTTTTAATTTTTCCTTCCAAGTACATCTTTATCTTAAATAGTAACTCCAGAAACCACTTCAGGCATGCTACTGGTTCAAAGCTCTGTTCATCTTCTGTAATTCTGGCCTTGGAGGTAGTTTTCAAAATGCATTGTACAATTCTTTTCTGCTCACTGTAAATACACATACACAGCATCAAAAATAAATACTGTCAAAACAGCTCTACTAGCCCTCAAGAAGGTAAATCATCAATTAAAATAAAAGTTCTCATATAATTATATGGAGTGTAAAGGCCATTTTTTTTCAACTTTATTATCAAAATGTGCAACTCTCTCTATTATGCATTACAAATTCTGAAAGACAAGGATATATACTTGTACTGCCAAACCTTTCAATTTAAATACTGTGTTACCTTTCAGTTAATCTCTCACTTGCATCAACACAGGTATTTAAACAGCTTGGTGGTCTCTTGTTCTTGATGATTAGTTCACATTGTATGGCAGTCATGGGGTATACACTTTCAAAATCATTACAATCACTGTTCATCACAAGGTTGTCCACAGTTTCATCCAAGAGTTGCCAAAAACATGCAAACATATATGTATAGTAAAATATCATGTAAATTAATTTATATATAATGTTAATCATGTCAGTCAAAACATAAAAAATGATTAAGTTGTAAATCCATCATGTAAATATTGGGTTTACTATGCTAAATAATACATTGATACATCCTGAAAAGAAACTTTATAAATATAATAAATTCTTACATAAAGATAAAAATAATAATAACAACATGACTGAAAAAATGAGAATACACAGTAAAGGTCCAAATGCACTTAGCTTGTGGCAAGTATTATTATCACTAATAACTCATGAACTGCATATAGTCTCAAACAGGTCTTTTTGTATTGCTTTCCCTTTCAAATAGTTTATTGTCTATGTTGCCAATGTCTGAGGCTTTGTTATCGTTTTTTGACTAACTAATACTCTAACATAATCTCAGGATACAACCTTCCAAAATCTTTCTTGGGGTGGCTCAGAATGTTGTCCAAAGTTTCATCAGGAAGTTGGCACAAACATTCAGACAGCAAAGGTAGAAGTCCAGCATCTTCAAATTGTATAAAATGAGAGTTGATCCCAACCACAATGTTACTTATAGTGTTATGTAATGTTCTGGTAACTCCTTGAGGGGGATCGTTCACTAACATAGCCTCACACAGTCCCTAACAAAACAAAACAGTTCTGTTCAACTAATCAATGACAAAATGTTTTAAACATCTTTCATCTTTTCTTATCAAAACCTTCTTGATAATCTACATGCAAGATTTCTGGTTTTAAAGATGCCCTTCCAAATCACTCACTTACTGATTTAGAAATATTAGTTTGTTCCAGTATACTTCACTCTACATACATTTCACAAAGTTCATAATTATAAACACATCATTAAATGGAAGTTTTACAACTATGTAACTACAACAGTGAAACTAACTATTCTTCCATCCTTTTACATATATATGGGCCACAATAACCATTAGCTTAAATTTGAGCATTTTTCACCTTAACTTTTCTGGCACTTAACTGTAGGAAAAATATATCCGTATTTTCACAAAATAATATTATATTATAGTATTATAATCAGCATAAAATACACTTACAAAGAATGAGAATAAAATCAATCAATTCTTGATAGTCTCAAATTTAGGTAGACACAAAATAAATTATTTTAATAGAAGACTTTTCAAATTATACTAATAATTACTGCAAGATATAATTATTAATTAAATATTTATT